ATAGGATATATCACTTTGTGTATATTGCTTATTCTTGCTTATAACTCTTGTATATCTATCTTGCAAGAATACAACTTGTTAATTAGTTTTAATTGGTATTTAATCGGATTAGATTAGCATAAGACCCTAATCACCCCCCTCTAGGGTCTAACACATAATAGTAAAAATAATACAACGTATTATTCAAAATGATACGTAATAGTATCGATAACACAACAGATTAATTCCAAAAATTATCACCGCATGAAATTGATTTATAACTATTAAAATCATTTAAATAAATATAAGATTTGGACTTTTAAATCATAAAAATTTCTAAAAATTTGGGAAAAATACAAATACTCTTTTAAAATTCATAATTAAATATTTTAAAATACTAAAAAATTATTTTAATTAGTATCAAAAGTTCACGGTCATTACACCTTGAAAATCTTTAACCTCTCATTCATTATCGTTGAATAGCTCAATTCTACATGTTCTTATGGCCACAATCCTTTTCTGCAGAACAATCTCATTTTTTGGAGTATGCTTACTCGTCCAATTTGCACCATCATCGTGTCTCTTATTAAAGTATGTGTTTAATCTATAAAACATCCTTGCAACTAAGACTTGAATTGCCATAGCACAGGTACCCTTAAGTACGCCATTGAAACTTTCAGAGCAATTAGTTGTCATTATACAATAGCGCATTCCATCATCTTTACATAATGCCCATCGATCTTCGTATTACGACTTCAAGTTTTGTTCAATCAAGTTGTGTGCTTCAACTGATAGGGATTTAATTTTCTCCCTACAATGCTCATATACCAGTGAGTCAGTTGCACATCTGGCTTGCCACAATAGATTTTGTAAATTGATCTCTCTATGTTTTTTCTTAAAATTAGCCCTTATATGCCGCAAGCAATAACGGTGATGATATGGTGCACTCCACCCCTCATGCTAGGCTCGTGGAATTCCTTTCATCCGGTCATAAATAAAAGTAATCATTCTAGGACTTTGAATAGTCAGGATGTATTTGTAAATACATTGAAAAAACTAGTTTCAACTCGATGTATCCTCCACCTCCACAACTACGAAAGCTATTGAAAATATCCCACTGTTGGCATCTACACCGGTCGCAACCAAGAGCACCCATTTGTATTTGCCATATAAATGTGTGCCATCGATGCTCAACATCGGATGAAAAAAAGAGAACCCTTTGATAGCGGGGTCCAAATGCCCAAAATACTCGCATGAACCTCTCTAATCCTGGCACGATCTCTTTAGACACTAGCTCATATTCGGTCCCCGAATTTTTCCTCTTAACTACTTCAAGATATTGCGGAAGTAATTCGTAAGATTTCTCCTAATCTCCAAAGATTTTAGCCAACACCTTCCTCCGCGCATCATATGCTTTCTACTTGGATATAGTTATTTTTCTCATATCATATACCCTTGTAATTATTTGACCTAGAGTAAGATCAAGTTCTTGCCTAACTTCAGGCATAATTAGCTTCAAGATATAAGAGGAAGTTGTTGTCTTATGATCCGCATTGACAGTGAGATTGTAACATGTGTGAAGTTCGCAATAACTAGAGATCATAAATTGCGCATTAGATTTTTTTCCAACAGCTGCATTAAGCTTCCATGGACAATTTGAAATTCTATCGTCTTTGGTACTTGTATTCTCTTCTCGACCTTTCTCATTAAAGCAACACTTTACTTTCTAGCTAGTTGTATTGGTTTTCACCGACTTGAATTTGATCCAATTCTTGATTGCTCATTCACGTATAACAAAAACTAAGGTTTCTTTATTCTCGAAAAGATCTCATTTTTTGAAAGTGAAGTCCTCAAGCCGATCGAAATTAGGACCAAGCTCAACGAACTCAGTTTGTGAGGCATTTATCCACTCGTCATTTTGAAACTCTTCTGGCAACGGTTCTTCAGACTCTACATAATTGTTGTTTACGCAATATTCATCCATCCAACGGGCATCATCATCGGTTTCTCCAATTGCATACTATCAAGACATTCCTCCTCTTCAACATCTTCATTATCATCATCAGCGTATACATCCTCATCCTCTTCTATAATAGAACCAACCGGTAAATTAACTGAAACATGACCCGACCATTGTGGAACACGTCACTTGACATTGCACCCGAGTCATTTTTTAAGTGTAAGACACTTTGAGATAGTGAGATTTAATTTTCAAGCATGCGAGAGAACTCTCCGTGAGCATATGAAACGTCGGCAACCCCAGTCATGGGAATATTTTCAATGAACAACTCGATTGAGATTAGCTTTTCCACAAGTTGTATCATGTCATTCAATTCTTGATCATTGGTGATCTCTATAACAATTGTTCTTTTTTCATTTATTGGATAATTATAGAAGACCTTAATGATATTTTCGGCATAATTAATTCTAGTAACTCTGTATATTTGCTCCATCATTCTATCGAAATTACAATTTCTAGATAATATGAATATTTTTCTAGAGCCTCCTTCGTATATAGACATATTATTCATTCCAACACTCAGTTTTCTATTGAATAAGCAAATAATCAGTATTCCATTCGTCATTTTAACTGAAGGATTAAAATTCATCATATGCAAATTAGATTTTTTTTCATATTGATAATCATAATTAAAATATTTATTCTAAATATACAATATTAACTAAACAATATTGAGAAAATTATGAAAAAAATAAGAAATTTATACCTTGATGAAATTTCGGATTTCGTCGACGTCGGAGAGATTAAACGGCGTCGGATTTCAACAACGCTGGAGGATCTTTGGGTGAGAGAGAAATTTGAGGGAGGAATAGTTAAGTTGGGAGGGAATCAATAGAATAAGAGAGAGAGTTTGGGAGAGAGAGATTGGATTTGGGAGAGAGGGAGATCGGGTTTGGTAGAGAGGGAGATCGGGTTTGGGAGAGAGAGGGAGAATAACTAGGAATGTTTTGCCATAATTTGGGGTACATCTAGGCTATATATAGCCCGGCAAATCTACGGGGCTACTAGTCCCGTAGATTTGGACGACACAACTTGACTCTGCCCAACAAAACCACGAGACTAGTAGTCCCGTGTGTTTGCTTAGCAGAGCCAAAATGTCTCTGCTTAACGTACGAGACTAGTGGTCCCGTACGATTCGTGAAGCACAAACAAAACATATGAGACTACTAGTCCCGTATGTTTTCGAGCAGACCGTTTTTTAAAATCGACATCTTTGTTGGCAAAAAATAGGTCGATTTTGTTAAATAATTAGCAAAATGATCGATTTTGCTAATTATTTAGCAAAAAATATATTTTTAAAAAAAAATCCGGATAAAAAATTAGTCAAAACCGATTGAAGCCTGACTGTTTGCTGACCCATAGGCCTAGGTTCGTCGTACCGTGGACAAAACACCAGTATGACCGTAACGCTATATGGTGATGCGCCCAAATCCTAACACCCATCTCGACAAATCCCATGGTCCAGGTTCACCATCACCCACGCTCCGTAATTTTCTGCCGGTCCGAGGGCAGAAATCACTCAATCCCACGAGATCTACCCTTCCTACTCGCGCGATGCGTGTTTATGAGGAGAGTGGTGGACAACGCCACTCTGTTGTCCTGTTCTGTTCCCGCTAAATAATATGTTTCTCTGACCACATGTCCCCCAAACGTCTATCATGTTTTCAAATTTATCCCCAATATCTAGAGATTCGTTACTAGGGGTGCTAAACCGTATCCGTATCCGATGAAATATCCGTAACCGTATCCGTTAGGATACGAATATGGTTACTCAAATCTATAACCGATAGGATATGGTTATGGATATGGTTTTGTAGTGAAATATCCGTATCCGTATCCGAAATATCCGAATACATATTAGTCATACTCTTACGATAGTTTCGATTCTTAGATTATGGATTTGTGGTTAATTTTGATGATCAAGATGACTAATCTTAACTATTTAGTTATAATGGACATATTAACGAACTTTTTTGTATCACATGAACTATGTTTTTCTCAATACTATCTAGTTTTCTCATATCTGTTTTGTATCCGCATGCATATCCGCTTATATATCCGCATGTATATCCGTAACCGTATCCGATTTTAGCGGATATGGTTATAAGTTTTTCTTACCGAGGTATATCTGTATCCGTATCCGTATCCGAGATGGGTAAGCGGATATGGATATGGTAAGCATCATATCCGAGCCGTATCCGGACCGAATGCACCCCTATTCGTTACCCTATGCTCTACCTTTAATTTTCAATATCCTAATTCAGCTAGTTAATTAGTTTTTATCAACTTTATATCTCCTCTCTCATTTTCCTACCTATAATTATAAATTAATAAATTTAATTAACTCAATTAGCATTTTATGAACGATACTGAAACTTGATGATGGGTAGAATAAACAAGGGTAATTAGCTCTTTATGTCTTATATTAGCCTACTTTGCATTTAAATACCCATACTTATTTTTGGCAGCACTTATATACTTTGAAGTTTTAAATATTACATTATGTCCTCTGTTATGCAAATACGAGAATGTTCCTTCAGAAAATTCCATGTGATACTCCCAAATTAGATTTTTTTAACCCTTGACTCCTGATGAATTTATTATCAAATCTATCCCAATTGTATTTAAAAATAGAATAAAGATAGCTTTAAAATAAGATTAAGAAAGATTAAATAGTAATTAAAAATAAAGAGTTAAAAAGTTATAAAAATTAGCATGTGAGTGAAGTTAGCTTGTTAGTGTCATATAAAATTTTTACGAGATGTTCTCATATTTGCATAACTGAAAGTACAAAAATGAAAAATTTTAGAAACTTCAAGGCACGTAAGTGCCTGCACACATAATAAGGAAAACTATAATATATTTAAGTGCTTTAGCCAACAAACAATGGGAGATTGGGAGCAAATTAGCAAATATCTAATTGGGATGTAAATTTGTAAATATAGTAAATGCAGAGAGTATATATGCAAAAAAATCCAAATAAATTGGAAATCCACATCAAGCGAGTGAGCATAACTTGCAGTAGAGGATTCCTTTCCTTCTTTTCCCCTTCCTCTTCGATCGGTAGTTTAGGGTTTCTGTATCATGCGAAAAAGATTCGATTTTGTTCGATTTTGGTCGATTTTGATCCAATTTTAGTGATTCGAGATTGAATTGGGGGGATTCGAGGATGCATATTGAGGAATTGAACGCTGAGGATGTGGAGTTCTTGAGCGGTGGCGATGAGAAGTTAGGGCTAATTGATGCGAAAAGGGCTGTGGTCGGTGTTGGAGCAAGATTTCTCTTTTATCCGACGCTTCTTTATAATGTCATCAGGAACAAGATCCAGGCCGAGTTTCGATGGTGGGATGAAGTCGATGAGGTCTGATTTTGTCTTATCCTTTTGTTTTAGTATCTGATTTTGATTCAATTGCATGTGATTGCTTTCTTTGATTAGGGTTTGAAAATTTTCTTTCATGTTCTTGTAATCTTGTTTCAATTATCGTTGAAAGATTGAATTGTTGTTCTGATGATCAAGATTGGTCTTATGTCTTGATATGGTAAATTGGTCGTGAGAAAACTGGCTGATCTGTTTACAGAAGGGAAGATGTACTATGAGGAAAAGCCTAAATTTGTAATAACAATGACTGGTTGAGGCTATAAGATTGCAAAGGATAAGGAAATTTTGTAATTGAAGGTCATAGATGTCGAGGAATTGAATAATGAGATGTTGACGAAGGTGTGAGTCAGTCTGGTGTGTGAAAAATGGTTGAATCAAAAGTTGACTCTTGAGATGATTTTTGGGGCAAATTCTTGCAAGAATTTAATTGACAAGTGGCACTCGTGTACTTAGATTATGTCATTTCTTGATGCAACACAGTCTCCAATTGTGGTGGTTACATGAAGAGCAAAAAAAAAAAAATTAAAAAAAAAATAAAAAAAATAAAAAAATAAAAAAAAATAAAAATAAAAAAATGAAGAACTTGAAAATATGAAGGTAAAAAGAAAGAAGAGTAATTCTCCACTTCAAATTCAAACATTAGTCTTTTATGTTTGCTAGTTTCCTGAGGTTTTGAATATGCATGTATTATTTATGACCGATGACATTCTTAACCTTTCCAATTGAAGATACAAAGTCAATGATCACATATATTTCATGAAATTATCATCATTAAATCAAGTTTTATTTTCTATAACCTCTTGAATTTTTATATGGGGGTTATATCCATTTTTAAGTGATGCAATGAGTTCTTGTTGAGAGTTTATTGATGCTTTTATTGGTACATTGTCCACTAAGTGCAATAGTACATGTTCGCTTTTTTAAAGGAATACTTAAGATGTAAATGCAAGTGCTGTTAGTGTGTAAAATGTTCCGACACTTATACCTTGTGCCTACTATGCGTCCAAGTGACATGAGCACTTGATGCCTATTCTTTGAACTCAAATAGGAAGAAGTTACCCCAAAAAGTTGATACGGAATTTAAACTAAATTTCACATATCTGTAGAATGTTATGTGTTCTATGTTTTGTTTTATAAAATCAATCAGACGCAGCTTAACAGCAAAGGCATATTTTTTTTAATATTCTTTCTGCACCAAAGTATATTATATGCTAATTCTTTCGGCATTTATGTTATCATTTAAGGTCATGTTAACGTGGGGAAGTATGTAATGACTTATTGTGTTTTTGTTTCTTATTAGCATGTTGCCACTAATGCATTTGCTATCAGTTTTTATTACTAGGGGCAGTTCCATTTCCTAGTCATGTTCCATGCTTAAAGGAACTTGGTGTTTGTGGAGTAATCACCTTAAATGAGCCATATGAGACGCTGGTGTCTACGCCACTGTACCTTGTGAGTATTCATTTTAATATAAATAATCTTTTTTCCCCACCCATTTGTACATTTTTTTGCTAAATATACAGTCTATTGTGTAATGGATGTAGTAAAGAAATAAGTTAATAGTTTGCACTAAATGGGTCTGCAGGGAGGGACTGATTTTTTTTGGTGGACAAAAATATGTGTCCCTTAAATTTCCAATCAACCCTTGTATACCATACAAATTTGTCATATACCTTGATAATGCATTAAAACCCCAAGTATGTGACACTCTATAGTTGAGAAACCCCTCATATACCATAAGGGGTTCATGTATGCTCTCTGAAATTTTAAAATGGTTCCCATATCTCATAATTTGTATATCTTGCTCCATAGTTTTGTTAAACCCCCTTGTTTCTTGCCTTCTTCCCGTCAGTGAAGCCATAGCTCTTACACTGTCTGAACGGTTCGAATTGTAGATTTGAAGTTTTTAGAAATTGATCGTGTCCTAAAGCATAAACGGCATTTATTTGTGATCAAGTTTGTTCCTACTTGTTTTTGGATTAAATGGATAAGTTTGAAACATTGTACTGGGTGAATAGAAATAACATGTGATATGCATAACATGCTATTCCTCTGGTGAACATCTGTTTATGAGGAATCACTAATTGTGTATATCAAAATAATACCTGCCTGTAAATTCGTGATGTGTTTCCCTTAGATTATGATCTACCCAGGCTTTGGATCTAGGTTCCTTGCCATTTTGATTCCTGAGATCATATTTCGTTGTTTAAGAAAAATAATTAAAGTATAGATAGACTGTATTATGCTTGAGTGTTTGGCATTTTGAATTACTTTTGATGTTCATTTCAAGAAAGGATCCTATACTCTATCAAAGGAATTGCTTAAGCTACTTAAATCTTGAATTTTTGTTTCAGTGGTCTACTTGTATGTGTAATTCAACTAAAACAAAATAGTAGTATTTGTTTATGTAGATAATCTGTGTCAACTTGTGTGAAATTAAATGGTTTCTTATCTGCTGAAGTTCATGAGCAAGCATGTATATGGTGCAATTGGTTACATCCTTGATCACCAATTTGTTCTGATATGAGCTGTAGCTTCTTTAAACTTTTTTTTGGCTAATCGTGGATCTTGCTTACAACTGAAGCAATTTTTAACTCGATAAAGGATCATGGGAAAAGAAAATTTGTTTCATTGCATCTAGTCTTTATAAGAATATTTCGGAAAAAAGTTAGGACCATTTATTTGTCTTTCAAGCATCAAGGAGCTAATCATTCAACTCTGGTAGTAGGTTGCTATCTTTGAAAATTTAATTTGAGAAACAGATGAGCTTTAGTAAGAAGAAGACAAGAGATTAATTGTGAGATTGAGTTGGATAATACAAGGCAGATAAGCTCTGTAGCAAATAGCTGCAAAGTACAACAAGCATGGTAAAGTAACAGAAGTTGCTCTTTGTAAATTCATATCAATAATGACTAGATGTCAAAGGGTCTTTGTATTCGTACTGTTATTTTGGCTTTCTGGATGATGTAAGTTGGAGAAAATAATTAGGTTTAGTTGTAGAATAACATATCTTTCAATAATAGCTGATCTATATGTTAAGTTTGTCAGAATCGGAACTTTGGAGAGAAAGAGGTTTCTAGTTATAGAGGAAGGATTGTGACCTTTGATGATATTCATCCCTCACCCCAGAGTTTTCCACTTGAGTATTACAGGGCTGATAAACTTCATTCATATCAGCTATTTGAGATTTGAACCTACCCACTCTAGTAAGTTTCAACTGAATAAATCAAATAGAGGTGTGTTTTATTTCACTATAATTGAGATAAATCCTTACTGGATTTAAGGACAGCAAAAATTGGTTTCAAACAAGGAATGAAGAATTTTGTTCCAGTTTTCTGTTTGTTTCTTAGCACTCAATGTTTTGGTTCATGGTTATAAGCTTCGGTTTTAGTTTTATTTGTTAGACATTATGTTTTTCCCCCTTTTTTCAAAAAGTTCGTGAGCATATATGACATGTTTCTGTTTGGAAGTAGATGTTTACACTTTCCCTGTCCTATTGTGTTTAAATGCTTTTATGAGCATGTTCGCATTTTGCATCGATTGCGCT